GGAACGATACGATATCACGAAAAGGAACGTGAAGATAGAATTCGTTTTGCTCATCTGGCATCGCCCACATCCGAGGATGGCGCTCTTCCCTATATCCACTTAAGGGAACAGAAGGGAGGTGCATGGTACTACAGTCGCGCATTGACCGCAAAACTCCAGAATGCGCTTACTCTGGTGCATGACCGAGGTTCGTCCTTCAATGGGCAAACCGTGCTGATGACGGGGGCGGGAATGGGTTCAATCGGAGCTGCGATGATTCGACACTTCCTACAGGGGGGAGCCAAAGTCGTTGTCACAACCTCCTGCCTGACTCCCGAGGTGGCGAAGGTATACCAGAGTATCTATATGGACTACGGCGCCAAGGGCTCTCAGCTCGTTGTTGTCCCATTCAACCAAGCCAGTGTTAAGGACATCGAATCGTTGATTGAGTACATCTACTCGCAAGGTGGTCTTGGCTGGGACATAGACTGCTTTATTCCTTTCGCTGCTATTAGTGAGGCTGGCCGACGACTCGACTCTATTGACTCGAAATCCGAGCTTGCCCACCGTTTGATGCTCACAAACGTCTTACGTTTGCTGGGCGCTATCAAAATCAGCAAGGAAACGTACCACTGTCATACCAATCCCACCCATGTCATCCTGCCTCTGTCTCCCAATCATGGAACCATTGGTGGGGATGGCCTATACGGTGAGTCAAAACTGGGATTAGAGACGCTGTTCAATCGGTGGCACTCAGAAGATTGGCAAGACTACCTGTCCATCTGCGGTGCCGTCATCGGTTGGACAAGAGGAACAGGTCTAATGAACCAGAATGACCTCATTGCAGAGGGCATTGAGGCGGCAGGCATGCGGACCTTTTCTCAGGAGGAGATGGCCTATGCTCTGGTCTGCCTCTGCATGCAGGAAATGACTGAGCTTTGTCAGGAGAGACCCCTTTACGCAGACCTAACGGGCCGAATGGCAGAAGTGCAGGGTCTGGGAGATAAGCTGCAAACGCTGCGTCAGGAGCTCAAGGAAAGAAGCGAAATACAGGCTGCGCTTCTCGCAGAATCGATACTAGAGCAGCAATGCTCGACTACCGGCCAATCTTCCGAACCGAACAGCAGCTTGGACCGACTCGAGCAGAGAGCACATGTACGCTTGGACTTCCCCAAGCCGCTTGACTACGATCGCGATATACGCACTCTTGGCTCAGACCTCCAGGGAATGGTGGACCTAGATCGAACCGTAGTGGTGACGGGGTTCTCGGAGTTAGGGCCCGTGGGCAATGCTCGCACGCGATGGGAGATGGAGGCATATGGCCAATTCTCACTCGAGGGCGCCATTGAACTAGCCTGGCTCATGGGATACATCAACCACTTCGCTGGAACAATCGATGGGGCTCCTTACTCCGGGTGGGTAGATACTACGACCAAAAAACCCGTCGCCGATATCGATGTGAAATCTATCTACGAGGAAAGAATCTTGACTCATACCGGGATCCGCCTAGTCGAGTCAGATAATAAGCCTTTCCTGCATGAGATTACATTGCAACAGGACTTGGAGCCTCTTGATATGCCTGAGTCGCTCGCAGAACAGATGAAGTCGGAGCATGGAGAGTTCGCCGCAGTTCAACAATCCACAACACCAGATCTTTTCACGGTTCAGCTTCGCAAGGGTGCCAGACTTTATATCCCTCGTGCAATGCAATCCACTCGCACCGTGGCTGGACTCATACCGACTGGCTGGGACCCACGTATTTATGGTATCCCCGAGGAGATCGTGTCTCAGGTCGACCGGGTTACGCTTTTCACACTGGTGTGCACGGTCGAAGCGTTACTGTCTTCCGGGATCACTGATCCGTATGAGCTATACCAATACATCCACGTGTCTGAGGTAGGAACATGTATTGGTTCGGGCCTTGGAGGTGCCACTTCCCTGAACAAAATGTTCAATGGGCGCCAAAGCACTCAAGATGTTCCGAATGATATCCTACAAGAGACCTTCATTAATACCACAGGGGCTTGGGTCAATATGCTTCTGCTCTCAGCAAGTGGGCCCCTTCGCACCCCAGTCGGGGCATGTGCCACAGCTGTTGAGTCTCTAGAATTAGGGTATGATACCATTGTCACAGGTAAAGCTAAGTTCTGCTTGGTCGGCGGCTGTGATGATTTTACGATAGAGACCTCTCAGGAGTTTGCCAACATGAAAGCGACTAGCAATGCAGAGGAGGAATTGGCAAAAGGTCGAGCACCTCATGAAATGTCCCGACCGACCACGAGCACTCGCAGCGGCTTTGTGGAATCCCAAGGTTCCGGACTCCAGGTGCTCACAACAGCAGCACTGGCGGTTAAAATGGGCTTACCAATTCGCGGAATCATTGCTTTTACCAGCACATCTAGCGATAAGGCCGGCCGCTCGGTGCCAGCCCCTGGAAAGGGTGTCCTTACCAACGCCAAGCACATCGCCTCACGGGTACCATCACCTCTCATGAATATCCGCAATCGCCGGAAGCGGTTGGACTTCCGCCTACGCCAGATTGCAGAAGCGCGGGACGTAGCCTTGCAGGATCTCGACTTCGAAGTGGCTGCGGTGGTAGCCCAGAGCTCGACTGTGGATGTTGAGGCCTACGTCCAGGAGCGTCGACAGCAGATAGCGGCAGACTTTGCCCGCGATCAAAAGGACGCTCGCTTCAATCTGGGTAACGACTTCTGGCGCAACGAGCCGAATATCGCACCACTTGCCGGTGCCCTAGCTACATGGGGGCTTACCATCGATGACCTAGATGTGGCATCCTTCCATGGCACGTCGACCGTGATGAATGACAAAAATGAATCCAGCGTCATTCACCAGCAACTGAGCTCGATGGGTCGACGAAAAGGCAACCTCATCCTCAGCGTCTTTCAAAAATCCCTGACCGGTCACTCCAAGGGCGCCGCGGGCGCCTGGATGCTCAATGGAGCCCTTCAGATGCTCGACTCGGGACTGGTCCCTGGTAACCGGAACGCTGATAATATCGATCCGAAGCTCGAGGAGTTTGCTGATCTGATCGCCTACGTACAACGGCCGATCCGTGTCCCCGATATCAAGGCCGTTTCCGTCACTTCCTTTGGTTTTGGTCAGAAAGGAGCGCAAGCCCTCTGTGTCCATCCCCGGTATCTCTTTGCCACTCTAGATCGGGAAGAATACCACGCTTATCTCGACCGCTGCACAAAGCGGAAGAGGAAGGCAGATATGTATTTCTACGAGGGAATGAATGGGAATTCCCTCTTCCGTGCCAAAACCGCGCCGCCATTCGCCCCGTCTGAGGAGACGAAGACGTACCTTGACCCAACTGTCCGATTTACGTGTTAATGATATCCCTCCAAGTTTCTGTTGTTTTTAGATAGCTTCTCTGAATTGATATATTTATTCGAATTATACTCGTCTCTCTAGTCACGCAAGTTTCGTAGCTCACTCTTTCCCTCAACTTTATCATTACTACTGTTCCTAACACCCCCTGTCTTTTCATCTGCCATCATGCGTGATGTACACTCACAATAGGTATTGACGAAGAGAGCCTCTTCTGTTACCCACTCCACGTTTCAGTCATCATACGAGTTAATACTACATTAACCAAACCCCCATCGCGCTAAAGTTGTGATACCAGTGACGGTGGGATTGTTCCAGAAAGACCTAGATTATGAATGAGCTCTTCCACGTGGCTTAACTGATTCAGTATCAGCCTGACAGTGAACCATGTTTTTGGAAATCGATTTGGCTATTTTTGTCATCATACTTGCTACTATAGATGGATTAAGGGTTTTTGTTTTGCTGTTTTTCTTTTCTTTTCTTTTTTTTTTTTTTTTTTAGTTCTATTATCCTTTTCTGTTCTCCTTTCAACAGTTTGGTTATTCATTAATCACAAGCCGAGTATGGTTAGTACTACAAGCAAATATATACTATTACTATTACTACATCAATATTAGACGGTCACATGCTTGAGCTTATTCGGTAACAGAGCACATGCATAAGCTTACTATGATTAAGAATCTTCTTCAATCTTACTAAAACGTTTTTCCAGCCCCAGTCTGATACAGTCACACTAATTTCAGAACCTGTCGAAGCCATAATCCCCGCTGACATCGGTCGTCAGTGTCACTGCGGCACCAACCGTATTTCTCCACCAAACTATCACCAAACAGATCAAACTCCGACCAAAAGCCCTTTGTCCGCAGCTGGTGCCGCCTTTGCAGACGAACTCACTCCAACTCAATAATCTATGAAGACAGAGTATCTGGACTGGAAGATTCAAAATGTTCAACGAATACAATATGCTTTTGTCACTGCAGTGTAAAACCGTGCTAGGGATACGATTCCTTCCAATGGGGCCGAAATTGTACGGTGGCTTACTACACAGAATAGGGTAAGACAGAGCCTTGCAGCTTACCAGCTTCATTAACAAAGTAGTATGTGGTGACGATCACTTACTATAATCATCCACGCACTAGTGCAGGGACTCAATCCATCTTGAAGGTTCTCGGTCACCGCCACAACCGGGTGTCGTGATTTATGTATGTAATATATACTGTAAGATGCGTAAGTATCGTCGTACTGTTACACCGCATTGTCATATGCATGATGTTGACTTCACCGCCAAGACCTCACGTACCTGCAGGAAGATCTAGTTTCAAATCTGAAACAAGAACATCGACCAACACAACAGGCGCAGTCGCATGGAAGCTCAATAGTAATTATTACGCAGCAGAGATAGAGTAAGGTGACCGTCGGCAGGATCCAAGATTGAGGATCCGACACGTGGATGGCTGCTATGGAGTATCCACTCTATATGCGAAAGGTGGAGAGGATACGGGATATGCCCAGAGTGGCGAAGGTGTTCCTGGTAGGCTGTGGTAATTGATGGAGTAAGATTGTAGATGTTAGAAAGTCTTCCCCAAGCTATATTACACTGACTGCAGACTTCGCGGCTCGGGGCGTGGGTAAGAGCAGAGGTTCATTCCGCCGCTATACACAACACAATCATGGAGAGCCCGTGGTCATCGCTAGGATCGCAAGGATCTTCTTCAATCTTTGAAGCACCATGGGAGGAAGTACGACAAACACAATCACTTTTTGCGGACGAGATCTCACTCGAATTCGGAGCAGTTCAATGCTCAATTCCTATTTCCAGTCAATTGGCACCGAGATGCCGACTGTTGAAAGATAAATTCACCAATTCGATAGCGTCCTCATTGCAGGAATTCTCCAGTCCTCTCGAGCTGTGCTCATCATTTTTACGATTTATTTTGGACTATACATACGATGAGTTATCGAGTGCGTCGCTGGACGTCGCAATTCTCCGCGAGATTCTGAGCTTCATTCAAACCAGCTTGCTTCGGAATGAGAACATCAACACCGTTTTGACTTCTATGAACGGCGATCCAGCCGTGGATCACTCGATTCTGCGAACGTACTTTCAAGTATGTGCCCTGACCAACCACCGATGCACGACAGGGACCAGTGAGCTCCTTGCGAGTGCGCAACGAGGCCAAGCAAGGCTGTTTGCGCTATTCAACGGCCAAGGGGTAGAGAGCTACTTTGACGAGCTCGTGGAGACCCATACCATTTATGAGGAACACCTTGCATCTCTCATGTCTTTGATGTCTGAAACGCTCGTTCGCCTGGCTGCGGATGATCAGTTCAAGGAGATCTTCCTGCATGGTCTTGATGTCCAAGCCTGGCTCGCCGCCCCGGATACTCGTCCTCCTATCGACTACCTCACCACAGCGGCCGTCAGTCTGCCGCTCATTGCTGTGTCTCAGTTGGTGCAATATGCTGTTGCATGTATTAATCTGGGTGTTACACCCGGGGAGATGCGACAATATTTGTACGGCGCCAGCGGTCATTCTCAGGGAGTCGTCGTAGCCGCCTTCCTTGCGGCTGTCACAACATGGGACAGCTTCTACACGGCCGCCCGACAGGTCATTGAGGTGCTCTTTTGGATCGGGACCCGTTGTCAACAGACCACAAGCACTATGTGTCCGAATTCCGGCCTCGAGAGATCCCCCTCGTCGTACATGCTCAGCATCAAGGGAATTCCGCAGACTACGCTGCAGAGACAGATTGATCAGATTAATGCACAACTCCCCGCACAGCAGGCTGTGCATCTCGCTCTAGTTAACGGACCACAACAGTTTGTCGTCGCCGGGCTGCAACCATCCTTGCAGGCACTAGAAAGGATCCTTCAGCTTGGAAAGAATGGCTCATCATCGGCCAACACTAACTCGTCTCGGATCCCTTTTCGCCAACGCGCTCCTATTATAAGCACCCGCTTTCTACCAATTGGCGCGCCCTTCCACTCTCCATACTTGCAGAAGACGGAGGATTTACTTCTCCAAGACCTGGCGCCCTTCACTCTTCGTGGAGCTGACTTAGCCTTCCCCGTCTATCACACAGAAACAGCTGAGAATCTCCAGAGCAGTGAGAACATCATTCCCCAGCTGATACAGATGATCTGCACTGGCCGGGTTGAGTGGGAGATGTTACAGCAGAAGGTCCTGCCGGGTTTCACTCATCTTTTGGATTTTGGACCTGGGGGAGACGCTGGAATCGGCAGTCTTGTCAGCCAGCATCGAGAGGGCACAGGCCTGCGAACTATGATTGTCTCCGCTCATCGAGGCACCAATACAAATTTGGACTATGCAGGTGACTTCTATGCCCGGTATGCTGCGGTCCGATACAGCCCTACCTGGTTCACAGAATACGCCCCATCCCTCATTCTGTCACCCAGCACCGATCCTCAAATGCTAGTCGACACCAAGTTCACTCGCGTCATCGGCCTTCCTCCGGTCATGGTGGCCGGGATGACCCCAACCACAACGTCGCCCGATTTCGTAGCAGCCATACTCAATGCTGGATACCACGCCGAGATAGCCTGTGGCGGCTTCCCCGACGCTGGCAAGATGCGTGAGGGTCTCAAGTCTCTTGCTGCAGCAATCACTCCTGGTCGAGGAATTACCTGCAATGTGATCTACGCGAACCCACGCGCCATGGCGTGGCAAATCCCCTTGCTAGCGGAGTTGCGGCGATCGGGAGTTCCGATCACAGGATTGACAATCGGGGCCGGGGTACCGTCTCCTGAGACTGTGCAAAGCTACATTGACGAGCTGGAGTTGGAGCACCTTTCTCTGAAGCCGGGATCCAAGGGAGCGATCGACGCAGTGCTGGAAATTGCACGTCTTCGTCCTAACTTCCCAATCATCCTTCAGTGGACTGGCGGTCGCGGCGGAGGTCATCATTCTTACGAGGATTTTCATGAGCCCATCCTCGACCGGTATGCGCAGATTCGGGCCTGCTCCAACGTAATTCTGGTAGCAGGCAGCGGCTTCGGCGACGGAGAGGGGTCTTACCCTTATTTGAGCGGCACGTGGTCGGAGACCTTGTTTGGCCGGCCTCGAATGCCGTTTGATGCCATTCTGCTGGGAAGTAGGGTGATGACCGCGAAGGAAGCGCGTACCAGTCTTGCTGTTAAACAAGCCCTTTGCGACATCCCTGGCGTTGGGGACGCGGACTGGGAAGGCACCTATAAGAAGCCTACGGGGGGTATCCTGACCGTCCGCTCCGAGATGGGAGAGCCAATCCACAAGGTGGCCACCCGGGGTGTGAAGCTCTGGGCAGAATTGGACCGGGATATCTTCAGCCTCCCTCGTGGGAAGCAGAAAGACGCGCTGCTGGCTCGCAAGGACTATTACATCCGCAGGTTGAATGAAGATTTTCAAAAAGTGTGGTTCGGCCGGGATGTTGCCGGAGCCGTGGTCGACCTACAAGAAATGACTTATGCGGAGGTCTGGCAGCGAATGGTGGAGTTGCTGTATCTGCCACATCTCCAGGCGTGGATTGACACTTCTTTCCGGACCTTGGTCTGGGACTGGACTCGACGCATGGAAGAGAGACTTGGTTCCGGCGCAGCAGCGAATGAGAAAACTACCCGAGCTGTTCTCCGAGATCCATCACAACTCAACCATCCTCATGAGTTCCAGGAGGAGCTCTTCGCCAAATATCCACAAGCCAAGAAGGAAGTTATCACTGCAGCCGATGCTGACTACGTGGTTTTACTTTCTCGTCGCCGCGGACAGAAGCCTGTGCCCTACATTGTGGCCTTGGACGAGGATATGGAGTACTGGTTCAAGAAGGATTCTCTGTGGCAATCAGAGCGCCTCGAAGCTGTTTTCGGACAGGATGTTGGGCGCATTTGTATTCTTCATGGACCCGTGGCCGCGCAGTATACCTGCACACCTAATGAGCCAGTCCGCGGTATACTTGAAAGCCTTCATAACTATTACATAGAGCCGATCCTGAAAGAGCGATACACTGGTGACCTTTCTAAGGTTCCACTTGCGAGGAAAACAGAGGATCTCGACTCCCTACCCCTGGTTTGCGATGGTTTTGTTCTTGAGCAAGGGGTGAACGCCGTCACCTATCGAGCCACGGATATAGATCGCCAGCCTTCATGTGAACAGTGGCTGAAAGCCCTCACTCAATCAACCCTCGCCCCTTGGTGCCGTGCCATTTTCACAGAGCCGATGATTGTTCAAAATGGGAAGCGGATCAACAACCCCCTTCGTCGACTGTTTGCCGCAACGGGCAGAGGACGAGTCGTCAAAGTGCGGAATCCCCAATCGACGAGTATGCCGGAGATCTTCATCAGGGAGGTAGAGTATCAAAGAACGACAGGAGGCAAAGTACGGCCACATTTGATCGCAAGTGCCGCTCTACGAAGAGCTTCTTCCGCGCCCACCAGCGACATTTTGATGACTCTGAGGGATGCCGCATCTGAGCCCTTGGAGTTACGGTTTCAGTACAAGCCACAACCTGGTGTTCCCAGCATTACTGAAGTAAGAGCCAACCGGGATTCACGGATTCAACAATACTATCAGCATATCTGGGTCGGAAAAACTCCATCTTTGACGACGTTGGTCTCTCCTTTAGATCATGTCTTTCGCGGCGAGGCAGTGGTCCTGACACGAGAGATAATCCGACAGTTCGCCCAGAGTATTTGCAATCATAACTCCAAGTACACGTCAGAGACTTCGGAAATTCCTCTCTATGCACCTCTGGATCTGGCTATAGCGGTTGGATGGAGACCGCTCATGAGTTGCCTCTTTCATCCGCTTATGTCTGGAGATTTTCTTCGGCTTCTGCACCTTAAGAACTCTTTCGAGTACTGTGATGGAGCTGAACCATTGAAAGAAGGAGACTGTCTCTCTTCAGAGGGCCGACTAACATCGATTAAAATCAAGCAAGGAACAGGAAAGGTTGTTGATGCAGAGGGAACCCTCTGCCGGAATAACAAGCCTGCAATCCGAATCAAGAGCACCTTCATCCTACTGGGCGAATACCAGGACTACGAAAACACGTTTGCGGAGGAAGACGAGAGGTTTAACCTCAATATTTCTTCGCAAAAGGATATCGCTCTGTTGAAGTCCCGAGCTTGGCTCTCTCTGAATCCAGGTATCGACCTGCTGGACTATCTCCACAAGTCCATCCAGTTTGAAGTCCGGAGCCGCTACTCTTTCCTTGACTCGGACAAATACGCAAATGTCTCCGTGGAGGGACAGTTCGTCTATCGGTCGGTGACCGGAGACTCCCAAGTTCTAGGAAATATTAACCTCCCGGGTGACAACTACATCAAGAACCCAGTGACGGACTATCTGCGCAGACACGGTAGTCAACTCGACAACGATTCCCAGGCACTCGCGCAGCCGCAAACTCTGCTTGATGACATTGAAATTACGATTCCGGACTATGCAACCAAATACGGGCAAGCTTCGGGCGACTGCAATCCTATTCATCTCTCAGAGTTGTTTGCGAGCTACGCCGGACACGAGAATCGAGTAACCCACGGAATGTTCACCAGTGGATATGTTCGAGCGCTGGTCGAAGCGCATGTCGCGCAAAGCGATCCCTCGCGAATGCGCTCCTGGTCCTGCAGTTTCGACGGCAAGGTTTCACCGGGAGATAAGCTCGGCATCAAGGTCGATCAGGTAGGCTTGTCGCGCGGCAACCTCTTGATTTCCATCCAGGTCCACAATACGTCTTCGGGTGTCAAGGTTCTTTCTGCTCAAGCCACAGTCGAGCAGCCTCCAGTGGCATATGTTTTCACCGGCCAAGGCAGCCAGCAGCCGGGAATGGGCATGGAGCTTGAGAAGCAGAGTGCGAGTGCTCGGATGGTGTGGCAAACCGCAGACGAGTATTTCAGTAAAACATACGGTGAGCCTGAAGTCCCTCTAATCTCGTACGGGTACTAGAAATCGGGACCAATGAGTTATCTTCTAGGATTTTCCATATCCCAAATTGTACGAGATAACCCGAAGACCCTGACCGTGTATTTCGGTGGTGTCAAGGGCCGTGCCGTTCGCGCGAAATACACCTCTCTCAAGTTCGACACTGTCGGAGATGACGGGACGGTGATTTCCAAGCGCGTCTTCCCTGATATCACCTCATCCTCTCGGTCGTACACGTTCCGCTCCACCAATGGCCTCCTGCATCAGACACAGTTCACGCAGCCTGCTCTGGCTTTGATGGAGATGGCACGGTTCGAAGACATGCGGGCCAAGGGTGTCGTGAGAGAAGACAGTCTATTCGCCGGTCATTCGCTGGGCGAGTACGTGGCGCTGGCTGCAATGGGCAGGATCTTTTCCATCGAGGAAGTGTCGGCTCTTGTCTTCTACCGGGGCCTGACGATGCAGAATGCAGTCAAACGAGACGCTGAGGGTGTCACCGATTACTCCATGTGTGCCGTCAACCCGATGCGTGTCTCGCCAAGGTTCAGCGAGAAGGACCTACACTGGTGTGTCGCGGAGATTGCTCGCAGCAGGGGTCCAGGAGGACTGCTTGAGATTGTCAACTACAATGTTGCGAATATGCAGTATGTCTGCGCAGGTGATGTGAGATTTTCCCCTACTACCTTTATAGGCCTTGGTGTCTGGGTTTCACAGATCGAATAACCACTAACCCGTGAAATATTATATTTACAGCTTCGTGCACTAGCCGCCCTGTCAGAGTTGCTGGATGCTATCGCATCTGGCGTCTTGAGTCTCACCGGTGTTGAGGAAGTGAAGGACTTTATCCAGAAGACCCTCACACGATCAGAAGCCTCAGTCACAGCAACAAAGAAGCGGATAGTTTTGCAACGCGGGCGAGCAACGATACCGCTCAATGTCAACGTGCCTTTCCACAGTAGTCTGCTCCGCCCTGGAGTGGAGTCCTTTCGCTACCTACTTCACAAGCATATATCTGAGCCCATGGTCGATCCAGATCGACTGATTGGGAAATACATCCCTAATCTGGTCGCCAAGCCATTTGAGCTCTCCAGGGAGTATATTCAGGGTATCATGCAGTTGACTAAAAGTCCGGTCTTGGGGGATGTGCTTCAAAAGGTGAGTCTGGAACGAATTCCTTCCTATCGTTTACATCTAACGAATGACATTCTCAGTGGCCACTATTATGAGGGGAGATACATATTTGTTAGTGTTTTTACTTAAAGAGACAACAGTGAACAGATTTTTTGTTAAGGAGTTGGGAGATGGTGTAGTTCCGGGGATATATTTACATGTTACTTTGTTGATAGAGCATTAGCGTTTGTACAATGTTGTTCCATGATAGTTTATATTTGCGTCAATTACAAATAGATATCTGATGTCAATGGAACATCCAATAGCACACATGAGACTTCCTTACTGAGGCAAAGGATAATCTCTCAATATCTCCGACATATATACAGTTTCCACTACGAGAGCTCATTGCAAGATGATAATGTTACAAACGAGATCCACTATTTCCTGCCTACTAATGAAATTTTCAAGAGAATCTGAAGTGTCAAACCTTCCTCTTATCTTACGGCGAGGCACACAAAGGGCGGGGATAACGGTCAAGCAGGATGATGTGTTGCGTCTCCACAAAAACTAAAATCACTCATACAGGGTGGTAGATGTGATGGAGAAGATCAGATGCGACGGCTGTCGATCCCACTCGCCTTGCGTTTAGTGTCATGGCTTGCAAATGGATGGCTGAAACCCAGTGTTGACCATGCTTATGAGCATCATGGTTATTACTATTTATTACTATATCACCAACGCGTCCAACATAGGCAATGACCAGACAGATCTTTCAATTACTGTGTGTCTAACCTAAAACAGGACCTGCAGTGCACATCTGTTGGCTTAAATCAGTGACGAACATCCAATGCTGAAGAGTAAAACCACATCCTCAATCAAGTGGTAGACCGAACCGAAACGAACTAATGCACCTACACTGCCATGTGGTGATCCTGTTCCTGCTAATGCAGCATAGATGAAGATAAATGTTTCAACTGATCTACCGGATGTCTTCGAGAGATAAGCAAACACCATAGCCCCATGGATGCAGCCTGGGAAATGAACGCAGTGAGGCCTGGAATGTGCCAATGTGCGCTGTTTCCATTGTGTAAATCAGAAAGTCAATTGCTTTCCACGTTATCCTCATTTCCTGGTGGGCTGAAAGAGGTGATACTTGTGACTTTTCTTTACATTCCCTGTTCTGATGTCAATGCTGTCAGCATCTATGATGCAGCTTATATCGCCCCTCCTTTCGCCACGTTTTTGTGGATCAGTGGGGGATTACCGATGACTCATGGAGCTAGGAACTCAAATCCATCATGAGTTCCTTTGTCGGGTTGTAGGCAAGTAAACTAACCCTAGATGTCTTGGACTTCCTATAGTAAGCATAGTAAGCAGTCAGAGTCCACTGTGGCGCTGCCAGCATGTGCACAGATGGGGAAGGAAGCCAACCATCATCTAGCTGGCTGTTATATTTTATTCGCGGGCCCAGTAGGGCTGTGTTTGGTAAATAACAATGTTTAATTTGAGGTAATAATGCATGCTACTCGAACAGGTCATTGTCTCTTCTACAAGGCTATGCTACACCAACTGCTTGGTTCCGAGCCCAAACTGGACAGCCTTACCACCAGGGCTCAGCTACCAATGTCTCAGACAAGATGAAACTGCGTATTGCAAATATAGATTGTCTGACCTCGTGTTCGATCAGCGCTTCAATTCTACAGCTGTTCCTGCTGCCCATGGCGTCGTCAATCGCCAGCATAAGTTGAGAGAGGGGACCGGTGTAGTTTCTTCTTCCATCAAAGGCCTTCTAAATCTTTAGATCTATCATTGAAAAGTAAGAGTGCGTGAACAGTATGATCGACTCACAAATTATATCAAATTTCGCCCTCAAGGGACTCCTACTGGGTCTCATAGCTTTGAGCTGCAGCGTGTGTCACCCCGTCTCCCCACAGCCTTATGGATATGAACAGCATTACTAACATTCGGAATTCACAGGCAGCGGGACTTTGCATTTCTCGACTTTTCTTTCACCCCTTAGCCAAGTATCCCGGTCCCTGGCTAGCAAAGATCACCACTTTGTATGCCGGTTATCATGCATGGCGCGGGGACCTGCATCTTGACATGTGGAAATGCCACGAGAAGTACGGTGAGTATCTCCGACTATCTATGGCAGTCGAATATTGGAGTACTAACGTCGGGTTCTCTCTGCTCTTAGGTGACTTTGTCCGATATGGACCCAATAGCCTCCTTGTCAACACTGCCGACGGGCTTCACGACATATACAGCCACGGAAAGAACTTCAAAAAGGCTCAGCGCTATGCTGCCATGGTGCATCGGGCCCCGAACACATTGACCGTGATTGACAAGAAGAAGCATGGCAAGAAGCGAAGAGTCATCAGCCAGGGCTTTTCAGACTCTGCACTCAAAAACCACGAGGTTGTCATCTTGGAACAAATAAAGCACCTTTGCAACCAGCTGAAGGCAGGAGACGGAGGTAAGCCGGTGCCAGCAGAGACCTGGTCTACGCCCAAGAATATGGGCCGAATGAGTATGTGCTTCCCACTAAGATACCCCGGATATCCAATGAAACTAACACAGAACCATTTTTTTTTCCAGCCGACTACCTCGCCTTCGACGTCATGAGCAACATCATCTTCGATTGCCCCTGGTCAACCCTGCGTGACCCCACCTTCCTCTTCATCCCGGAAGTGATCGAGAAGTCCAACGTTCGAGTCGGAACCCTGGCCCAATCGCCCGTGCTCAGCGTTTTTCGTCTGGACAGATACCTCTTCCCCGAAGCCATCAAGGCCAGGAACATGTTCATCAGCTTTGTCGAGGTGATGCTCGCCCAAGGCATCGAAGCAGCCTCCAAGACAGGCAAGGGTGTCTTCGCACACCTTGCCAAAGCCAAAGACCCGGAGACCGGTCTTCCCCTACGCAACCGAGAACTAGGCGGCGAGAGTGCGACGCTGATTGTCGCGGGAACCGACACCTCCTCTACCGCGATGGCGGCCTGCTTCTTCTACCTATCACACAACAGCGCAGCCTATCAGCGCGCCGCGAATGAAGTTCGCACTATCTTCACATCCCCCGACGAGATCCGCATGGGTCAGCAAATGAATCAATGCGTGTTCCTGCGTGCCTGCATTGACGAGAGCATGCGCATGTCCCCATCAGCGGCTGGATCGCTCTGGCGCGAGGCCGAGGAAGCAGGAGCTACTGTGGACGGACAGTATATCCCCCCTGGTGTGGATGTGGGAACTTGCATCTACAGCATTCATCATAATCCAGCGTATTACCCTGAGCCGTTTTGCTTCCAGCCCGAGCGGTGGATCGCGGATGAGTGTCGTTCGGTACAAGGGGATGTTGGACGCGCACGATCAGCGTTCAATCCTTTCTCAATCGGGCCCCGCAGTTGCATTGGGAAGAGCCTCGCTTATGTGGAACTTCATCTTGTGTTGGCGAGGGTGCTTTGGGAGTTTGATATCCGGCTTCCAGGAGGGGATCTGGGGAAGATTGGTGAGGGGAAGGTGGGCGCGGAGTTTGGCCGGCATCGTACTGATGAGTATCAGCTCTATGACCATTTGACTGCTGCGAAAGAGGGGCCATATTTGGAGTTTTGTCCACGAAGTTAAGGGTGAATGTGCATTGGTCTACCGGATATTGGGGGCCGCCTATTGGCAGTAGAGAACTAGCTCGATTGGCCTAAAGAATGGCCTTTGGATGTTAACGATGTAGGCCCAGTAGGTCCGGGCAAAGGGTCTTCTGACATATACTTAGCTTGGCTTGGACTTGTTGAAAGGTATAAAGCTGCTGGTTCACATGAATGAGCGAGCACGAGCTCTACTACTAACCTACAAGGCTCCTTCTCAACCATAATAGAAGTACCCATTTATTGTATTCATTCCTCGTAAACATCGTAGAGAATATATTATAAGAACCATCGGAACCCGACAGCACCCGGTCCATCGCGCAACCGTTCAGTCGGGACATCCTGCGCCCGCATCCTGATACCCTCCTTACGATCCCTCCGGTGGTTATCCACAAGCATATATACCCCCAACAGCGCCGCCAGAATAGCCCCAGTTCCACCGAATGCGCCCACTGTGACGAGGGCAGGCAGATACTTGGGCTTATCTTTCTCCCGGAAGACATTACTCGACACCAAACCCATCAGGTTCGCCAACGGCACACCAATACTCGTCAACAGCACACGCTTGTTCTCATCTGCAATGTTGTTGTTATACCATGTGGAGAGCAGCACCGACGGCGCAGAGGTACCCCAGGTCATCATAAAGGTGGCAAAATACGCTAGGTGGATTTGACGATCCACGTCATCGATAGCGGCATAGATCATGAAGCCCGTAAAAGTGAGGAGGAAGCCTAAGACAATGAAAGGAGCGCGGAGGCGAACGGCGTCTGAAGCAAAGGCTAGGACGATGAGCATGACGGCTCCGGTAACATTAGGGGCCACAGTGTAGAGGTTTGTTTTGACTGTGGAAAAGCCCAGGCGTTGAATGATCTGGGGCATGAAGAGGGAGACGCCCTGCAGGGGCACACCGAGACAGATTTCGATGGCGAGGAAGGCGTATGTGGAGGGGTGTTTGAAAATGCCGAGAGCGGAGCGGAGGTGGAAGGGTTCGTCGACGATGGCGGAACTGTCGACTTGGATGCGGTGGTGGGCGAGGAGCTTCTCGTCTTCGCTGAGGAAGGAGGCTGTCGAGGCGGAGCGAGGAAGATACCAGAAGGCGAAGCAGGAGAAGAGCACGGTGACACCGCCTTCGAGAATGAAGAGGTAACGCCAGTCTGGGAGTGAGGAGTCTTTGATTTGGAAGACGCCGAAGGCGAGTAGGCCGGAGAAGGCATTGGCGATGTTGCTGGCTGCGTAGAAAATGGCGAGGCGACGGGCAAGCTCGCCACGTCGGTAGAAGGTCGTGAGGTAGTAAATGACTAGCGGGAAGAAGGCCGCTTCAGACATGCCGAGGAACCAGCGCAGAGCGAACATGCCACCGAAGTTTCTGGTCGCAGACGAGAGCAGCGTGAATGAGCCGAAAGAGAACATGAGCACGGGCAATACGCGTGCGGGACTCCAGCGCTTGCCGAGCATGGCAAATGGGGGCGCGAATACAACA